CTTTCTGAGAATTGTCCACAGAAATACCCTGCCTTCTTTGCGTGGACTTCTTCACTGTAGCATCTTCACCAAAAAAATGTCAAAAAGACATTTCTTAGTTGAATCAGAAAGTTCTTTTTCATCGACTTTCCCCTTAATAGAAACATTTGTCTTCATCTGACAAAAATTATCTCCATGAATAGACAAAAATATCACTGTTCAAGCCAGGATGATTAGAATCTGAATCACTGTCCGACAGAGAATCTGAGCCCGACTCGAACTTAGAACGATGCACACTGTTCTTTTTCTTCACGTGTCTTTTCCGTAAATTTAGACGAAGAAGAGTTACACTGAGATTGAGCAGATTGGATTTTGGCAACTAATCCATCCAATTTACCCGAAATACTCGACTCCAGAGCTGAGAATTTTTGATTCCGTTGTTCTTCTAGAACATCGTATCTGGAACGTCTTTTAAGTGGAGTTTTCGGCGTATTAGTACCCGACTCCGAGTCCGAAGGAGGAATTTCACCTTCCTCTGGTATTTTATTTGTATCAACAAAAAGTTGAGCCATAACTAAAGCGAATAAAGTGAAAAAACACGACCGATTTGGTCGCCGAAAAAAGGAAACTGACATCTTATACACGTGGCGGAAGTAAGGGGAGTTAATTGAAGAGCTTACTTCCGGTGTAAATAGTTTAGCGAATTGTGAGAAATTAACGGAAGGAATCCTTATGGTACTGTCGGGTAAGTTTATTTACGAAATGAAACTTCTTATTTTCTCTATTCCTTTGCTCTTGTTCTTCTAGAATATATATGAGAGGATCATGTAAGCTGACAATCGGATCATCTACATTATTTAAATGTACATACACTGTAGTTCTTATAGAACAGGATATGTGATCCTTAATAATAACCAAGGTTTTATTTAAATGTACATACTTAAGTTCTAATGGAACATACATGAGGGTATATATGTACATATACTCTATTCATTATGGACCATGTATGAGGGTATCATGTGAGATGACCAGGAGATTATCTAGATCTACGTATACTCGTTAAGCGACAAGAGGATCATTTAGAAGAACATAAAATCTGTTTTTTTTAAGGAAAAATGGTTTTAAAGGGAAAAAAGGGGTTAATTGCAGAGAAGTTTGCGCGGGAAAAAATAACTGTTTTTTATGTACATATGCATAACAAATCAAAAAAGGGCCTAAAATCCCAGTTTTAAAAAGGGCTGAAGGATTAAAGCCCCAAAGGGATGCCAAAACTTGTCCCTTTGGGATTTAAGGTTCCCATAAAATTTTTTTTGAATTTCCAAAACCCGTAGTTCAGAGAAGTGCACGGGAAACGATTTTTTTCGATTTATATGGGATCCCCCTCTTGATTTTGTGATTCCCCAAAAGTTTCTTGGAAAATTTCCCGCCAGTTTTGGCAAGAAAAATAGCTCGGAAACGAACTTGGGATGGACGGATGGACGGACGGACAGACGGACAACGCCAAAACAATATCCCTCTCTCGATTCCGTCGGCGGGGATAATAAAGCATTTTTGTAAAGCATTCTAAAGCATATTACAAAACTAATGCAGTAGGGCTATTTTGCATATTTTGACCTCTTTTTAGTATTTTGTATTGTCCCATATGCAATGTGTAAATTACTTTCTTTGTTCATTTTACAATATTTTAGTATTAATTTATTAAATTTATGTTCCAAACTGTTATGAAAGTAAACAGGGAAATTAGCCAATTCTGTTAGAATCACTCAATTTCTGTTCAGTTTTACCTGATTATTTCCATATCCGCTTCTTTAAATAACTTAAGATGTCATATACCCAGAACCGCTTGTAACCAAAACTGGAATTTTCAATAAACGGGTTTAACAGCAATAAATAATGATAAAAAAATGATAAACATATTTTGGTTTTTTTTTTTCCTTAATTTTAGTTATAAGGGAAGGGCGGAAAATTTTCCAAAAAACTTCCCAAACGTTTTTTACACACAAGTTTTTACACGTTCCCCCACACAGACCAAAAGGGTTTTTTTTGGAGTGTCCCTAAATCCACAAAGATGTTTTTATTTTTCCCCGGGTTTTAAAAAAAACAAATGTTATATATCGACCGACATAGTACATTTGGGGGAACGAGCATACTTTGAAAAAAATCTTTTGATACTTTAAAATAAAAAAAAACAAAACAGAAGAATGAAAGTAAAATTTAAAGTTTTAATTTCTTAAAGTTAAAATTTAAAGGGCCCAAAAGTGGGTTTTCCCGTTGCAAATTTACAAAAATCAAAAAATCGTTCGGCAGTTTTTTGGGCCCCCTTGAATTTTTTAAGGGGAAATAAATTTTTTTAAAAAAGAAACCCCAAAATTAACCCCCCCAAATATTAAAGGGTTTTTTTAAGGGAAAAAAATTTTTTCGGAAACGTAAACAATACGGGAATAAAAAATAAAAAAAGACAAAGCTATGAGTGATATGCGTTTTTATCTCACTAAAACCCAGACTTTCAATTATAAGCATAAACTATTACAACGATTTGACATAGTCAATATTTACAATATATAAATAACATTTTGGTTGGTGGGTAACAGTAAAAATATCATTCCGAGGAAAATACAGTTACTCGAGGTTATTTTTCTTTTATTCTTGAAGCAAGTGATGATATCTTCCAGTCATAAACATACAATAAGCTGTGTTTTATTTAAAAAACAAAACACGAACCCATTTATAGGGTAATGATCGGCGAAATCTGATTCTTCTGTATCCAGAAAAATTCTTCTCATGGTTTATGACAAAGTGCATTTACAAAATAAGGATGACATCCTATGTCTGTCCACTATATATATCTGTAATGTTTTACTGATTAAAAATTGTTAAATAATCCTTTATTGCATGCTTTAATGGTCTGCATGTTCCAGTTTGACACATGAACTATGTCAGGATTATTCACATTGCATTTTCATGATCATACAGTAGAACGGTACAAACTATTAAAATGTATATACATATCATCAATACTTATGTTACTTTTTTCTGTAGTAGGTTGTCTGTATTGGGCTCTTACATTTTTCCAAAAAGAATTTGGGTTACATTTTACTAATTTTGAAACTTATTTTCCCTCTGTCTTTTTGAATAAACTTTTAAAAGTATAAAATATCAATTTTTATATTTTCATTGGCTGTAACATTGCCTTTTTGATCTTATGAAATGTGCTTTTGTAAAGCAATTTTGATTTACCAACAAAAATGTCTTATACATGCACTCTTATACAGGATTTTTTTTTGTTCGTTGACCAAACAGATATCTTAAAAAGCAATCATGTCTAAACAGGATTTTTCATCCTTAATATTTTGTTCGATCTACAGAACAATTATCTTACACAGGATTTCTTGAATAGAGTATTTATTAAAATTTATTATTTGGTCGACGAACAAATATCTTACAGAGGAATTGCTGAACATGAGTTTTATGACTTTTTTTGTTCAGAATAAAGAATAAATATTAATTCTATATTTTCCTTTAATGTCAAATGTCTTTCTGTTCTAGTAAAATTTGCTTTAATTTATAATAGCATTTTAATGACCAACAATATGTCTCATACAAGAATTCTTAAGCAGGATTTTTATTGTATTTTTTATGTTCGGTCGACTGAACAAATATCTTATATCTGAATTTTTTAACAAGATTTTAAATCCTATTTTCTTGTTCAGTTGACCGAAAAAATATCTTACACAGAAATTCTTGAACAGGGATTTTTCATTTTTTTGTTTTGTCAAATAATAATATATAAATTTTTATATTTCCATCTGATGAAACATGTCATTTTGTTGTTATGAAATGTGCTTTTGTAAAGCAATTTTGATTCGATCGACTGACAAAAATACATGACTTTTTATCATAAACATTGTTTTGTTTGTGCGACCAAACAAATATCTTAAAAAAGAATTCTTGAAAAAAAATCAATTGACCGAAAAAAGTGTTTTATACATGATTTTTTTCGTATTTTTTTGTTCAGGCAACCAAACAAATGCCTTCACAGGAATTCTGGAACAGGATTTTTTATCGTAACTTGTTATTTAACAAGTGTCTTACAAATGAATTCTTGAAAAGGATTTCTATGACTTTTTTGTTTGTTCAAAAGAATAAAATGTATTTTTTATATTTTCACAAAATATCTTATACATGAATTCTTGAACAGGATTTCTTTACATTTTTTTTTCTGTTCGATTGACCAAGCAAAATTTACATTTTTTTGTATATTTTCATTAGACCAGTGACAAAAGCATTTTTGTCAGAGATTGGATGTAACATGATTTTTCTATCTTATGAACTGTGCTTTTGTTTTGAGATTTTGTTCGATTGATCGAACAAAACGTACTATACATTAATTCTTATACAGTTTTTTATTGTTTCTTTTTTGTTCGGTTAAGCAATTATTATCTAAAAATGTAAATTTACATAGTTTCCTTCGTCATGCATATCAACAATATGCAATGGCGATGGTGTTCGCGTGATTTTCTCAGTGAATGTTAAATTGTGTGTGCAGTCGAATTAAACAAGAATGTATCACAGTAATGCAATAAATAAATAAATCAATTGATAAATTATTAGTCTTTTTCGTTTTAAAAAGTCCGAAACCGAATATAAAGTTATATAAAAGTTTTGAGATCACTCATGGGACACTTAAACACAACGGGAGAATGAAATAATCCCATGGGATGACACACTGAATGCTTTCCCAGCACTTATTTCTTTGTGCTTTCTTTGTATAAACGGCCATGTTTCGTCTGTTTCCATCAAAGTTACTATTTGATTTAGTTTTTTGGTATTGAATTTTTATTAAAAAATGGTAGCTGACTTTGCAAAAATTCCAGATTTTCAAACTTATTCCGGAGGCTATTCTTATGTAAAGCTACAAGGCCCAGATTTCAGTAATGTAATATGTGTCATTACATACAAAAAACCCTCCATTTGTTATAAAAATCATTTCACTTATATCAAAAATTGCTGTGACAAGGAGTATGGTGGTGGATGGGTAAGTCTGGCACAATTTACATGTACACAGATTTATATAGTATACATGTCTTACAATACTTTTCTTCCAACCTACAACATGCAGATTTATAGCATGCATCATCAGTTTGAAAAAGTAAAATTATCAGTCTTGTACAAATATAGTACACAATATTGGTGTTTGTGTGAGTATTGATTTTATAAATATAAGAGGGAGGTAATAAAGAACGACATTCATTTGTAAAGCTTTCTGCGTGTCTTTTTTATTTATATTTTTTTTTATTTTTGCTTTAAGGCATATTATTTTGTGCTTAAGCATTTCTGTTATATAATTATCTATTGTTTTTATTGTATTTATCATTAAAAAACACTTGTTATTTTTGTTTTCAGTCAGTATATAAGTATACTCAGTGACAATTGTAAGTAGGTGATAATCACCACTCCGTTCTTCAAAATTTTATTTTAATGGGTATGACTGGTGACATGTCTGGGATATGTACCCAACAGCGAAAGCTGTAGCATATATAATTGTCACTATCTTTTAATGTGACAAGAGCATAGTTCTTTGTCATGTATGGATAGAGATCTAAATATTGATAATTGAAATAAAACATGTTCCGGACTAAAGATATAAATGGGTACACTCTCTTTTATTATTTTCTTTATTTCTGTCAACTTTAGTCACATAAGACGAGAATATTTTAATACCAATGCGGTGCTTGTTTTTAAATATGGAACGCCGGATAAGAGTTATGTCGTGGTCGACATTATTTGCCGTTCTTACTTTCAACTTTTCATGATGTGCAGTCTCTAATTCACTGTTCCAATAGGGTTTCAAATATTCGGAGACTTGTTTGACCGGAAATCCCTTTGACGAATATTGAGAAACTTTTTACACAAATAAATTATATGCATTATCAATGCCTCTTGGATCAAAGACACAAAGCATCAACTATACAAGATCGCAATCATCCTGTAATAATGTGCTGTACTGTCTTAAGTTTGCTTCATTAACCTTTTTTCAATTCATACACACTTTTTTTTATCAATACAGTGCTAAAATCTACACAAGGTAAAGATAATTGCACGATTATTTCTTGAAAAATTTAGACATTGGTCATCTAAAGTTATTGCAATAACTGACACAATCAACAATTTCAACAGGGACACACATAAAGCCATAGATCCTCGAAGGATTCATATGAAACAAAGGAAAACTGAGGACATTAACATATAGGCGAAGTGTTAATTGTGACAAGTTTTGTATCAATGATAATCATTCTTAAGTATTTGTCACGTGTATTTTGTTAATTTATCATAATGTTTGAATTAAAATCAACAGTGTCAAGGTTTAGTAGCCTCTTCGAAGCTGCAGTTGAATCGTTGAAGTCTTTTTCGTCTGCAAATGCTGATTTTAGAAGGCGACTACTTGCACTTAAGAATGTTTTCGATCAAAAAGTTCAAAAGTCCTGCTTTTCGTTTTTGTTTTGTTTTTTCATTGAACAATGGAAGGCAAGAAATATCAAAATTAGGATTACGCGTAATAATTACGCAGCTACAATATGATCTTCTTTCTTAAGCTTTAAATTAAAAAGCATTGCTTGTATATAGTATTAAGAAGGTGGTAATTATAAATGTCATTCTGACATCTATTTTTCATTTTAAGATCAGAAAGATTATTTTGTTACAGATACTAGGGATGATCTGATAACTGAGAAAATGGCAACCGCCAGTACAGGTCAAGCTTCGTCGACAAGTGCGGAGCAGAATCGTTGCTACCTGTTTCGTCTGCAAATGCTTATTATAGACGGAGGACTACTAATACTAAGAAATATTTTTGATAAGAAACTTCAAAACTCCTCTCTAAGCCTTAGCGTATTTTTACAACAAAAAAGGTTAAAACTAACCAATCTAAGATCAAAAGGAAAAATAACACAAGTACAATATGATCTACTATATCCATCAGGCGGCAGTGGTTCCTTAACCACCGACCTAGACGTAACGTTAATCATGTTTCTGCTTAGGAACTTCAAGTCATTTGGTCTGAATAAGAATTTCCAGTGGAACTCATATCCTGCACAAGGTGATACTTCAATTGAGGCTGATATGTTTCGTCTGACAATGTACAGGAACGAGGTAAATAAAAAATGAGATAATAAGACAGTTACATCTTAATTGTTTGATTGCTTGAAACGACATCTAGTTGTGAACAAAAATAAATTGTATAACGTGAAGTTTAAACTATTACGTATACAAAGTATGTCTGATGAAATAGCTTTTCGATCGTAGAATTATCAATCCTAAGAAGAACATTAAATAATGTTGTTTTTTTATATTATGTACGACTGAATGAATTAACTTATGTAGTATAATTTATTTCAGTTGTATGGTGTCTAAAAGTTAGAAGTTTTTTTTATTTGAAACATCAAGTTTAACTACGAAAATTTTCCATTTCATGTCATATATCTAAGAGTGGCTTTATAATTTGAGATTTAGCCAACGGTGCTTCCTGCTTACATATCATTTTCTTATTGATGTCACTTCTTGACATCAAAATATTAACACTAAATTACTTTTTAATTAGCTAAGTCACATATCTTCAACAAGAGGAATTACACCGAATGTCTTCACAACAAAGTGGACGGAGATCGAACAGGTTAGGATGGTATTATATATTACTATTATTTCGCATTCCTTCAGTTTTGTGTATTAAATGTTATGTTTGTGCTCAGTTATATTCCTTATTATAAAGTTCTGATAGTATGTCGTGAAGAATTTTTATTAATTTACAGGCAAGCAAGACGTTTGGTCGAATAATGAATCGGCCAATTTAAAAATAAAGGCTCAACACGATATAACAATTATCGCTGAGTCCCTCTTATTTTTTAATAAAAATCGTGTTTAAATATATATTTTAGAAGTCATTTGAACTAATCAATAAATTTCCAAAATTAATTGTAGGGTAAAATACATACATTTTTATGTAAGACAATCATCTTCAGCAGACTTATTAAGTATTGTTATAATTGAACTTCATACAGAACGGCTATATCATGTCATCCTTAGAACAAAAGTCATTCATTAAAGGCGTCAATTAAAGCTTGTGGCTTGTCTCGTGAAGGTTTTCTTGAAGTGATGTAAATAGCAGATAAGTATGTCTGGTATGTAACAAGCATAACACAACAGAAGATAATATAACATTAAGCATTATTCGCATTAACACGGGTTATGATAAACATGATAGAAGTTCAAGTGTACAGTGCGTTCATATACAATGTATTTTTGGTGCGAGATTTAGCATGGACATTGATGGTAGTAATTATGTATTTTTTTCCAGGTTCTTTTGAGGTTGAACTCGAAGGCGACTCCCATACCACATCTTCAAAAGACAATTGATGACTTTAAAGTAAGTCCACTTGATCAAGAGGCAGAGAGAAGAGTACAGAAGGCCATAGACAGTTGGCAAATGTTAGAAAAAGGGGTGGAGGCTGAATTAAAACTGATAAAAGAGGACACAAAGGACATAAAACATTCTGTGGAAAGTCAGGCAGAGAGAATTGATGAATTAAACAAGAAGACGTCTGAACATGAAAAACAAATACAGGAATTAAAGTTAAAGGAAGAACCTAGAAAAGGTACATCATTGACGTTTTATAACATTACGATATTATGACAGACGATCTTTTTATTTTAATTTTTGGTTATGTTGAAAGATATTTTCTTCTGAAAAGTGCATTATTATCTTAATCGAACATTATGTTAAAACTAATTATTTGAAAGCTATTTTAAATCCAACAATGAAACACGGTTAAAATATTTATCGGCAATTTCCTTCAATTTTGTATTAAAGAAATGATTATTTTATAATCTGTATCAATATAATTTACAACATCTTTCTTCTGTTATCATTACAATTTACGCATTTAACTTTGTTTATTAATTTTGATTATTTCTTTTTTTCTTTTTTTTTTAAATATTTTTGTAATTAACCATTTACCTCATATAGACGTGTTTTGAACGGTTTAAGTTAAGCTTCTTATTGCAAATATCTATATTCAATATATTTAATTGTCTCAATGTAGATGTTACAGCAGAGACACAATCAATGCGACTTTCTCAATATGAAGAGTGGACAAAAAGTAAGTTATTTTTTTTATGTTTTAATATTATATTTAAAAGATATTTTGTGTTGGTGGAAAGGCTATATCTAACTCAAATATGGAGGAATATTTTGAAAAATTGTCTTTTTTACTTTTGATGGATTTGTGTTTATATCCCGTTTAATACCCTATCCTGCTTATATAGAATTATAAGATTGAACTTTGAAAATTTTGACAACAACTTGACAAGAACAGGCTTGATAACTGAAACAAAGACATAAAACAAAATTTATGTATATGTGCGTATTATGTTTATCGTGAACTTAAAATTCATCGTAATACATATACAAAAACAAAACATTTTGCCCACTTCTCCCATCAAATAATGTTCTTGTCGCAAAATCAAGAAAATCTATATAATTAAGAAAATGCTCTGCATTAAAGCAAGGCAAGCAGAACAGTCTAGCCGGAAAGTAGGACATTAGAGGTAAATCAATTCTGGAATGTTTAGATGTCAGAACAATTAAGCGGGGCATCCCTAATTAAGGTGTAAAAAAGCTGTGCAGGAATGCTCAGCTTATTTTCTCAAAATATTTTTTATTCGGATGATTTATGCAATGGTTTTAATGATTGATCCTTGCAATTCAAATGAAGGTTTATCAAAGATAACAGCAATTGATGTCTTTCTTTACATATTTTCTTCTGTTCCTTATTCGGAGTTGAATAAGGAATAGGGAACTGGTTCCCTATTCCTTATACGACTTTTAACTTTTTTTTCAAATATTTTATGCAGATGTTTTTTGTAATGATTTTAATGGTTGGTCCTTGCAATTCTAATGCAGATTTATCTTAAATAACTGCAACTGGTGTCTTCCTGTACGTATTTTTTTGTTCTTTATTCGGAGTTGAATAAAGGAATAAGGAACTTGTTTCCTATTCCTTATTCGTCTTTAACATATTTTCAAAATATTTTTATGCAGATGCTTTATGCAATGATTTTAATGTGGTATAAGGAACGGGTTCATTATTCCTTGTTCGACTTGAAAATTGTTTAAAATATGTCGATGCGGATGCTTTATTATGATTTGAAAGAACCGTTCCAGTTTTCTGATCACCCATAATGTTATTTTATATAATACTAATTATGCTGCTCCTTATTAAGATTTGAATAAAGATTAGGAACTTGTTCCCTATTCCTTATTCGAAAAAGGAATAAGGAACAGATTTCTTATTCCTTATTCGAAAAAGGAATAAGGAATAGGGAACTAACTTTATGCACATAAATTCATTGCTCTGATGGAATGCTAAGCTGGCAAAGAAATCTAGCATTGTTTACAGGATTACTATGTAAATTAATGTTGTAGGGACTGTTCTGCACAAAATTAAGAAAGATTACATTTGTTTCTTGTACCTTACTTATAAAGATGAGTTTGTAAGTTCATTTTTTCTTTTATTGAATTGAGATAAAAATTGTCATATTATTTTATATTGAACCTGAATTTTGATATCAGTTGTTATTGATAAGTTTAAACCATTTGACTTACTTTCTTGTGTTTTGATTTACAAAATTTTGAATTTTGATATCAGCTGACCAAGTTTTGATATTTCTGATATCGTCTGACCTAGTTTCTCGTGTTTTTCATGTACAGACTTGAAATTTTGACAAGGGGTGTAATTTCTGATCTGATACCAAATTTAATTTTGACATCAACTGGCCTATTTTTGATATTTTTGATATCGTTTCACCTACTTTTGATATAATTGTTATCATGTGACCTACTTTCTTGCGTTTTGATATACAGACATTGAATTTGCACCAAGGGTGTTATGTGTGATGCCGAATTGAATTTTGATATCAGCTGACATAAAAGCGATATTTTAAATATCATTTGACATTTTTCTTGTAATTAGACATAAAAATCTGGACCAGGGGTGTATTTTCTGTTGCCAAATTGAAAACTGATGTCAGTAGACCTACTTTAAATATGTTTGATACTGCTTGACCTCCTTTTTTGTTTTTGACGTATAGACAATTTGGACCAGGGTTGGAATTTCTGATGATGAAGTGAATTTGATTGCAGGATGCTTATCTCAGTAATTGCTTGGATGAGTTCGAACATAGGTCATCTCGGAGATAAAAATAAAAAAATCTTTTTTACACTCTAGTGGCTTTTGTTTCGATCCCAATATTCTAGAAATTAGCCAGAAATGTTGTTTTGATAATTATTAAGTCCAGTTCTAATATCGGTTACCTTGGGTAAAAAACTAGGTCACACATCCTACGTTAAACCTTGTTGACACTCTAGAGGCTACAGTTTGATTAAGATATCAAGGAAATGGTCAGAACGGTTGTTTTGGTGATTTCTAGGTCAAGTTCGAATATTGGTCTTCTGTGGTCAAAAAAGGTTGTAATGATGTCAAGTTCAAGTTCAAATATGTGTCACCTGGAGTCAAAATCTAGGTCACACAGCCTAGATATTTGAAAATCTTGTTAACAATCTATGGGCTACTGTTCCTGTCCAAATATTCAAGAAATTAGTCAAACATGTTGTTTTGACGAGTTCTAAGTCACGTTTGAATATGGGTCACTTGTGGTCAGAAACAAGGTCACACAGCCCTTGTCTACACCTTAGAGGCTACTGTTGTGATTCAAAAATCCTGAAAATTGGTCGTTGTGGAAAGGTTGCTTTGGTGATTTCGAAGTCAAGTTCGAATATTGGTCATCTGTGGTCAAAAACTAGGTCACACAGTCCAAATAAATTAGGATTGAGCCTTCATAATCAGATGAGCAATATAAGGGTCTTCATGGCCTTCTTGTTTAACTTGTATTGATAAATGTGTGTCAACTGTTGGTGGCGAAAAAGTCCAAGACGGGACCGAAGCAGGCCTCCACTCAGCTTTGTTTATCTCTGTCTGGCTCTCTTTTAGAAGGTCACTACTGACCCGAAAGGGAGGGCAGGGTCCTTAAACTTAGATTTAGCTAAATAAGCTTGTCCTTGAGTAATATGCACGTGGTTATTAGTTTAATTGCTTTTAATCCGTACATAGTTCTTTACAGCTTGTTCCTGTCTCCTTGTATTTAATGGTGGTTTACCGGCTTCAAGGGTCTCGTCTCGGGCCTAAGTGGCACTGCATGAAGGCCCCGAAAGCCAACCTAAGGGCAGAATTTTGAATACCGGCTATATTTGTTAGTTAATTTGGACTCGACCAGAACAGCTTTGTGCACATTAATCTTTTTTTTTAATGTATTAAGGATCTGTAAAGGAGTAAAATGATATTTTTATCAGTTCTGAAATCTGTGCCTTTTATCATTCTCATGAGATCTAAATCATTTTGTGAACGATCAACCAGATCTAATCCATGTTGCCCAAATGTTGCTGAGTTTTTTATCCAAAAGAATGCCTTAAAATGTGACTAATTTGATTGGTGTACTGCCAAACATACGTTCAAAATGTGACCTGTTTAGATTCCAAATAGAATAGCAACTGTTTTCGTCACAGGACTTTGAAACCCTAATTTCATGGCCAATCCCATTAGAGAGTCAATCCAAGCCTATGCACTCTGTCCTGATTTAACCAAATTGGACCGTATCTACCAACAGCTGGAATAATCAGCAAATTGCCTTATGACCATCCCGGAGCCAGAAAGAGCCTCCGGTAGACCGTTTATTATTATTGGAAAAGTAACGGTGAAAGGAACGAGCTTTGGGGAAAACCCCGTCCGACTGGCTTGCGGTCAGAGCTAAACCATTGTACCCAGACTTATAATTTTCTGCTCTCGAGGAAGGATCAAATAAACAGGAAACAGTCCTCTGTCATTTCATATTCTTTATGTTTATATAGAACCCCGAATGCCATGTAAGGTCAAAAGCTGCAGTGTGGCCCAAAAATATTGCTTACATAGAACGTGACCTATTTTTGGCATAAGCCACATCATGCTAGTCGTGTCAGGACTATAACTTTATCAGGCATCAATAGATGTTATAATAACTAGGCATAAATGTCTATCACACCAAAGGCGCATGTCCTTACCTCCAAAGTCAAGGTCACACTTATAGTTTGAAGGTACTCATTCACTTAAGAAGAGTTTCAAGGTACTCATTCACTTGAAAAGGGTTTGAAGATACACATTCACGTTCGGTCTGTAACTTTGTCGTGCATTGAAGGATTTTAAAATAACTTGGCATAAATGTAAACAACATCAAGATGATGTGTCACCTCCAAGACCCATGTAGCAAGGTGGTAAGTGTGACTCTAAAGAAAACATAAATTTCTTTTCTTTTTAATTTGTTTTAACCGTTTATCAGCTCACCTGAGCACTTCATCACTCTGCGTCCGTCATGCGTCGTGCGTCCTTCAAAAAATGGCGTCAAACATTTCAAACAACATCTCCTCCTAAACAACATGGCCAATTACAACCAAACTTTACAGAAATGATCCTTAGGTGGACCCCTTTCAAAGTTGTTCAAAAATTTTAATTCCATTAAAAACTCTGGTTGCCATGGCAACCAATAGGAAAAACTTAAAAAATCTTCTTTTAAAAAACCCTAAGAGCTAGAGCTAAGATATTTTGCATGAAACATCTTCTAATGAGTGTTTACCAAGTTTCTTCAAATCAATGCCCTGGGGTTAAAATTGGCCCCGCCCCAGGGGTCATTGATTTTCCCAATATGCATATAGTAAAAACTTAAAAAATCTTCTTTTAAAGAACTCAAAGAGCTAGAGCTAAGATATTTAGCATGATACATGTTCTAATGGGTGTCTACCAAGTTTGTTCAAATAAAAGCCCTGGGTCAAAGTTGGCCCCACCCCCGGGGTCATAGATTTTCCCTATATGTGTATAGCCAAAACTTAAAATATTCTCTTTGAAAAAAACCAAATAGCTGGAGTTAAGATATTAAGCATGAAACAACTTCAAGTGAGTATCTACAAAGTTTGTTCAAATAAAAGCCCTTTGGGTCAAAATTGGCCCCGCCCCGGGGTCATTGATTTTCCTTATATGTGTATAGCAAAAACTTAAAAATCTTCTTTGAAAAAACC